CATCTTTTTTTTTTTTTTTTAAAGGCATTGCCTGTGACACGTGCCAGTTTGAGTTTTGGCTGCTCCATTTCTGATCCAGCTTCCTGTTAATGTGCCCAAGAAAGCCGCAGAAGATAGCCTGAGTACTTGGGCCTCTGCCACCCACATGGGAGACCCAGATGGAGTTCCAGGCTCCTGGCTTTACTGCCTGTCCACATGAGAAGAACAGAACCCACAAAGGAATAAATAATAATAGGTTTATGATAAGTGCTATAACAGAAATTGACAAAGTGCTGTGGGAGCCCCAAAAGAAATGGTGATCTCTGCCCACGTACAGATAAGTAGAGGCTTCCTGGAGGAGATGACATTTGGGCTGCCGCAAACTTGTATGCTCTTGCTTTAAACACATAGTCTCTTTACTTCTCAGTTCCCCTAATCCATGTGATTAATTCCAAAAAAGTTTATTTAAAAAATTTTTTTTGGACAGGCAGAGTTAGATAGTGAGAGAGAGAGACAGAGAGAAAGGTCTTCCTTCCGTTGGTTCACCCCCCAAATGGCTGCTATGGCCGGCGCGCAGCACTGATCCGAAGCCAGGAGCCAGGTGCTTCTCCTGGTCTCCCATGCGGGTGCAGGGCCCAAGGACTTAGGCCATCCTCCACTGCCTTCCAGGGCCACAGCAGAGAGCTGGACTGGAAGTGGAGCAACCAACCGGGACAGAATCTGGCGCCCCGACCGGGACTAGAACTCTGGGTGCTGGCGCCACAGGCGGAGGATTAGCCTAGTGAGCCGCGGCGCCAGCCTATTCCTTTGTTGTTCCCTTCTCTATGCACTCTGTCTTTCTCATTTTTATATCCCCAGTGTTTGAAGGCATCAATAGACATTCACCAAGTGGATGAAGAGGTGAGAGGAGCTGTGTGGTATGGGGGGAAAGGCAAGGAACTGATAGTAAGGACATGGGGCTCTAATTCCGGTCGTGCTACTAAGCGGCTGCCTGACTCTGAACAAGTCCCGTCATTGCTCTGGGTCTCAATTTCCTCATCTGTAAAATGAGAATAAAAATATAATCCTCCTCTTCAGGGTTATGGAGATTAAGTGAGGTAACTGAGCTCACCAGCTGCCTGCCCAGTTTGTGCCCTGCCCTCGTGAAACAGCCTGGACTATTGTTCCTGTCATTTGGATCTCACTTGCTCGTTCTCTCCTGGTGAGAGGCGAGCTAAAATCTGTTGCCTGGTTGGGAGAGTGGGGGAAGTTTGCGGCAGTGGCATACATATCATCCAGGTGGCCTGAGTTGCTGGGAGGGCAGACACTAAAAGAGGGGAGCATGCGAAGCTAGAAAGTGAGCATGCTTTGCTTCTTTTGTGATCACAAAAGCTAAAGGAGGACCTAAAAGGAGGAGAGCGAGAAGGAGAAAGGCTAGTTCTACAGCATTTGCTGATGGGGCTCAGGAAGCCCTCAAACATGGCCCCCTAAGCCCTGAAATTTCGCAGCATCTGGAGGAATGCCACTGCCACGAAGTCTATTCATTCATCTCCTGTCATAATTTCTCAGTGCCTTAGGCTGATGGAATTAACTCTATCATGAGTATTCAAGTGCTAAGAAAGATGAGGCGAGGTAAAAATTGCAAATACCAAATAAGAGGAATGCCATGTAAAAATTGAAAAAACAGAAAATCATGACTTTAGGCACTGCTATCTCAAGAGGTGACTATCAATTCCCAGGTGAAATGTCTTCCCAGAAGATCCACTAACATTGTTCTTTTTGTACTGTAAAGGCAAACTTTTCCATCAAAACTTGGTAAACTCCTGATTTACAAGGCAGGTAGCTGAGGAGGCCCTGAAATCTGCAACTGATAATTTGTAGTGCTTTCTTTCTTAATCCCATTTATTGAGTTTATTTAGCTATACAGACTGGTCCTCATCACAAGACAAGTAGTCAAGGGAAGATGATGAGAAAGGAAAACGGAGAAGGGGATGAAGCCAGTGGAATCCCTCCCCAAAGGCCAAAAGTCATCTTGGTGTTAAAGCTGGTGATCTTAAAAAAATATATTTCCACATGGCAGGTTTTTTAAAAAATATATTGTGTGCTCAGATGGCACCTTTTATCATGAAGAACTTTTGGCTGAGTTCCAGGCTGATTCTGCTGGCACAGAGAACTCTGAGATCATACCCTATATTCAGAGCACAGAAGAAATATTTAATCCATCTCTGAAATAAAGACGGGGGAAATGGAGCATATTTGAACAGTTTTATAACAAAACCATACCAGGGTGAAGAGTAGAGGGCATCCTATCCATTTGGAATTACTGAAAAGTAACATTGATTCTAAATACTTAAGTGGCATTTTTTTTCATTCTCAGTGTTTCACAATAAGCAGCCTGCATAAATCTGAAGGCAATCTCCAATTTCACAGATACATAAATGAAGGTAGACAGACTTACCTAAGACTAAATTAAAAAAAGAAGGAGGAGAGGCAAAGGAAAAAAGCAGCTCCCAAAGTAGCAGGTTGTGACCCAGGAGTCTGAGCTCTTAGAGCTGAATTTAATCCACACCCAGGCCAAATATAATTCTCCAGGATGGAAGTGGTCCAGGACACCAGAGCTAACACTTTCTACCTTTGCCAAAGAGCCTGAGGCAGTTTGGTGACACGCAATCAGAACCTCACTTCTATTTTTCAACTGAAATAAAGTAAGGCCAGCATCATCTGACAGGCGCTTCCTACCTTGGCAAGGCACTGGTTCAAGTTCATCTGAAGGAAGTATACATATCCTTGGTGCATCACTGCCTCTTGGCATCGCTATTACTCTAGAGGCCTCCTATTCAAGGGTCTGCTTAAGTTGGACAGTTGGGTCATAGTTTCTGGTGTAAGACTGAATCACAGCTTTACTTCATGTCAGTGTTGAGTCCTTGATTATATACTGTGCTTCTTCATGACACCCCCCAAACCTTAACTGTGGGATAGGCCTGAATGATTGCTCTGTGACCTAGAAATTAAAACCCCACCACTAAATGATCAAAGGTGGTCCAGGCAAAAGCCTTTGTGGAAATCTGAAAGCCATTATCTTTTCTACACTTCCTCTCTTCACCCTCACTTTGTTTTGGAATACACAGGGACACCCGTGAACAAAAATAAACCAACTTGCCCTTGACTGATTATTCTGCCTTTTGAGTTATCAAATGTGAGTACTTCTGGCTTCCAGATATGGTGAAACAGACTGCTGGGAAGCCAGCCACAAATTACAGTTGATCTTCCAGCATCTTCTACCTGAAGGAACAAAGCAGAAAATTAAAATTAGTGAGCCGTGCCTCAAAGTTTACTTGCCTTCTGAATCACATTTGGATTTCAGAAATGTAGAAAGAATCCTGGTGTGTGTTCTCAGCTCAACACTGCCTATCCACACTTACTGGCTCTTCTAACTCCTTTACTCTATACCCAGTCCATACACATTTGACTGTCGGCTCCCCAGAACTCTCTCAGCCTCATCAGGGCACCTTTAGGTAAGGGAGAGGCACCCCGGGAGGCAGAGGGTGAAACGTGGCAACTCTTCCATAGGCAGATCAATATAGCAGAGCTGCTCAGGATAGGTTTCGCTAGGGTTTAAATCAGGTTGTCAACTCAAACACAATGGGCTTTGTTACTCCTGTTTAAAGAGGAAACAGCAGTTTTTGGCCTCCTCAGACTATACAGTAGGGTACGTGGGATGGCAATTCCAGGGACAAATCTGTTTTTAGCTACTCAATGTTCCCCAGGAAGTTCTTGAGCTGCTTCTGAAATGCACAGAAACATTCATACTGAAGCAAACCTCGCAGCTTTCAGCTATGGAGAAGGGACCGGGTGTGTGAGGAAGGGGGTCTGTCAGGATCACAGAACCGAGATCTTTCGGCGAGCGATCCCAACACCTGTGACTGACCTCAGAAACCCCACACTCACTAATTCCAGGACATCCTTTTCTGGCTTGAGTACTCAGCCGGAGAGGCTTGGTGGGCCGCCCCACTATTGAGTTCAGATGTGGGGTTACTGCTGCGTTCAGAGGAGCTGTGAAACACCTAACCCGAGAACCGCCTAGCTCTTCAAGGGGAGAAGGGACGGGCTCAGGGGCCACGGGCACATCCGCTCACGGAGCCCTCACGGGCCCGTCAACGGCCTCCGGGACTTCTGCTTTATTTGACAACTTATCACGGGCGGTGGGCAGGGCTGTCCCAGCACGGTGAAGAGGGCCGCGAGGAGGGGATCCGCCGGCAGACCGCCCCAGCACCGGAGAGCGCGCGCCCCTCCACGCCCGCGCCCCTCCCCCGCTGCTCGTCTCCGGGCAGAAGCGGCTCCCGCCAGCCCGTCCTCTCCCGCTCCTCACGCGTCCGGGCGGACCGAGCCTCAGCAGGAGCCCCGCCTGTCTCCGGGCAGCTTGAACCCCTGAGCGCTCGCCCAGCCTGTCAGTAACCGCCGTTTGCGCTTTCTTTCTTTCTTTCTTTTTTTTTTTTTTTTTTTTCCCTTCCTCTTCTTTTCTTCCCCCTTCTGCCTTTGTCCCGCTTGGTAACTGGGCTCTGACCAATAGCTGTCTCACCGGCCGGCGCCGGCTATCTTCTGATTGGTCCGCTCGGGGAGCGCAGCCGTCTCCCGCTCCTTCGCTGGAGCAAGGCAGACAAAAGACGCAGGCTCCAGGCTCCGGCAACCGGGATCAGCCAATCAGCACCCGGCTTAGTTCTCTTCCATCTCCTCCCTCCTCCACTCTCCCTCCCGGCTTGGCTCGCGTGCTCCAGGCCCTGACTCCTGGCGTGCGGCCAGCGCCCGGGCCGTACCATTCTGATTGAGACTTGGGGGGTGGGAAGAGGCTAGCTGATTAAGGAGCCGAGGCCTAGGGAGCGGAGGGGAGAATTGAAAGCCGAGATGGAGGTCAGTTTCGTGAAGGGTTTTTTAGGTGCCTGACAGAACTCTTAGTACTTCCAGGATGGAGCCAGCGGAAGGGGGCAGCGGTGATGTTGGCTGTCCCCTTGCCCTGCGCGGTTGGGTGGCGCCTCAGCGGGGGGGCGCGGGGGGCGGGGGAGGATGTCCCCTCCGCGCCGTTAAAATGAAACTCTAGTGGCTGGAGTCAGGGCAGAGCGTGAGGGGAGCCGGCGCTGGCGGGGCTGCTCACACCCCGGAGGGAGCGCCCAGCCGAGCCGAGCCGAGCTGACGGACTCTCTCACGGGCCCCAATCCCAGGGCTGCGGCAGCTTCGGTTCTGAGCCCGGCGGGAAAGGATCCCGAATCCCGGTCCTGAGGGAATAGCTCTGTGTAGACCAGTGGGACCCCGAAACTTGAACGCAACCCTCAGTCCCTTTTTTATGCCTGCCTTTGTCACTTCCCCAGCTTTCTCCCAGCGCGTTTTTGTTTTTGTTTTTTTCTCCCCTCCATTCTCCCTCCGAAGGACACAAAAGTGGCTTCCGCGGAAAGATCTGGAGGTGGTGGGAGATTTTTCTTTGGAGAACGATTGTGTGGAAAGGATTTTTGGGAAGCCGTTTTTAAACACCTCCGTGCCCCAAGCCTCTCTATACGCTCTGAGGAGAAAAACCCGTAGCTTGAAAGTTCGGGGGGCATTTTGCCGGGTGCTGTAAGAGGAGAGGGGGAGGACCCTGTCCTCGTCCTGGTAGTTGGCTGGACTTGTACCGGTCGTTGGAAAACCTGAAGTACATTTCCGTGTGGAACTTTTACAGATATATATTTTTAGATTTTTAAATATCAGATAAAAAATATATGCTTTCTATATATTTTCTGACGACCTGCCCCTGACAGCGCGATGTACAATACGGTGTGGAGTATGGACCGCGATGACGCAGACTGGAGGGAGGTGATGATGCCCTATTCGACAGAACTGATATTTTATATTGAAATGGATCCTCCAGGTACTTGGGAGAAAAAAATCTTGTGATGGGTCTGATTTGTGTTAAACAAGCCCTTGGTGATATTTGGAGGGCAGAAGTATTTCTGGGTGCACTAAATTCGGGATGAGAGATTTGCAGTTAGAGCTGCAGTAAAACTGCTTGTGGTTTACACGTTTAAAGTTTGCAGTTCGGACCCTGATCCTATTGTCCTGAGGAGGTGGGGGTGGGGGCTGCAGTGGGGGTGGGAGGAGAGGACCCCCTCCCCCTTTTTAAACTTTACTTTTGCATGTCGTAAAGGTTTTTATCGGTTCTTCACTTTTTTTCTCTCCCCCAATTAAAGACTTCTCCCTGCAAGGGATGTTTTATATCCCACTCTTGAAGTCATGCTTTCTCTTTGGGGAGATTCCTCCTTAAGGAGTCTGATTTGGGTCCTTGTGTTTTACCTTGGTTAACTTCTGAAACTGAGTTGCCTGTGTGATTATTCATTTTAAGACTCCTCGTTTCTCTTACAGAAACCAAATGCCGGTTAGTGATTTTCAGGGACTGGGCGTTCTTATTCAGTCATGGCCTTAGACTGAGGTTTTCCTTTTCAGAATATAGTTACTCAGAGAGCTCTGTGTGCAGCATTTTATTACTCTTTAATTTATGGTTGTTTAATTTATGGAAGAGTGTTTACTATAACTTAAATTCTCAGAAAAAAAAAGAGGAACCTTCCTCTTTCGTGGGAATATATGATGTGCACATATATGTTATAGATTCCTGTACATATAATGTGAAGTATACATTATACTGTATTTTTTGTTTTAGAGCTTTGTCTGAAGCCATTACAGACATTTTGTGTATCTGGTAGGGAAAGAAAAGGAAGAGAAAATGGAAAAGTTTTTTTTTTAAATCTACTCCATTTTATGGTTATTAGCTGTCAAATTTTCAAGCCGTTTGCAATTATAGACAGTGTTTTATGTAACAATTTTGAATAAGTAGAGGGCCTTTGTGACTCCTGGTTTTTGTTGTGGATGAATTCATTATGTCTTTAAAAATGTGTTATAGCTAAGCCTATAGAATAAATTGTGTGTCTGGGGAGTCTCACTTATTATAAGATTATTTTTGGAAACATTGGAAAGGATTTGAGCCCATGCAAATGTAGTGAATTATAAATGTCGTATAGAAGGTATGTAGAAATCGTGTAGTGTGTCCTTGCAAACAGAAAATTATCCTCCTTGTTTTTTTTTTTTCAATTAGTCATAGTATTAAATGATGGTATATTAAAAAACTACTAACATCGAATAAACGTTTTTCACTGTTGATCACTTAGAATTTTTTTTCATCATTTTGGAGCCTTCTTTGCTTTTATAATTGTGACTGCAATCCAGATGCGCTTTTCAATGTTCTGTAAAGTTTGTAAAATTTGCCACCCATCTATTGTGTATGTCTCCCCCTTTGTTTCCCCCAATGGTAAAGCATCACTTCTTCTAGATACATTTGTCATTTATGTGGTCGGGCATTTATTACATCACTGGTACTTCTTGTGTAAAAAGTAAGGTTGATAATTCTAGATTTTGGTTATTATAAAAATTATATATTCAAACTGCCTTAGAATCATACTGTGACATATAGCATTTTGCCTTCCAAACATACAAAGAAAATGTGTTGGGTGGGGAGGTGAGTAGGGAGGAAGGGAGAAAATAAGGAAGGCCCTAATGGTTGAAAAATATTGGCCAAGTTAAGTCTAGTCCAAAAATACTTTTAAGAAAAGTTGACTGTTATAATTAGGTAGGGATGTGGGTCTTATAAGATTGTACAGAAAATTCTGATCCAAACTTTGTTTAATTTCCATAGCAATAAACTTTTGAGCTTAAAATGTTCATCCTTGAATGAAATTTTATATGCTGAGATTCTATTCACAGTATTGAGAATATGCATATGCTGTTCTTTATTATCCATTTTGTATTCGTAATGTAGAATATGATTAGTTATTATTAATGGCTTTTTAAAAGGGAATCACACTTGAGTATGCTGAAGCATTGCCTATGAAGTAAGTGTTTGTAATGGAAATAATGTGATATGCCAACCTTGTTTTATATGAAAAAATTAAGTTTTTGAAACATTTGAAGCTATAGGTAAATCGTCAGTGAAGTGGTTGCAGCATGTTTTGTATCTGTTTTTCCTGGTTTCTACACCAAATCAAGCTCTTATTATTTCCTTCCTGGACTGATGTGATAGCACTCTTAACCTTTTTCCCGTTTGTACTCTGTTCAATCCACAGTAATGTTAAACTATCGTTTGATGTTTTTACCTTCCAATGTTAAATCTTCTAAAGGCTTTTTAAAGTCTTTCAATGGCTTCCCTTGGCCTGTTTTTCTTTTTTGAGGAGTGGGGGGCCCAAGTTGCTTGCTCCCTTATTTTTGCTTCTAAAATGATTTTCCAGTCCATTCTGGAGTCCATCATGATTTCTATGGAAGGTATTTTATATTTGCTGTGCCTTGAATGTATGCTTTTTTTCTTCTTGAGATGCCTTTCATGCCCAGTGTTCACTTGTTGAAATCTTTTATGTGTTTGAGACCCAGGTAAGAGGTCTTCTTTGCCAGGGAATGTGTTTTCCCTGATCCATTATGAGAAGTCATCCCACCTTCCTCTTCCCGCCCTCTGATAGCATTTTTGGTACGGAATTTCTTCCATTCTGTTTAGACCAGCTACTGTATTTATTTATGTATACTTCCCCCTGTGAAATTGGCTTCCCACCTGGTTATGAGCTTCTTAGATTGCTTAGGGTCTTGCAAGTAGTAGGCAATTTAATCATTTAATCAATATGTGTTGAATTAATAAATAACTAGGGTGCACTATTTCTTTCTAGCCTTTAGGTGCTTTTTTACTTAAGGTTCTTGGTCGCTTCATTCCTTGACTGTTGTAATAGCCTAGGGTTAAATAACTTTTGAATTAGACATCTCTTGACTTAGGGCCCTTAATTGTAATGGTGCCAGTGTTTTTTGCATCTTGATTTTAGACTGAACCATAAATGCAGAATTTTTCTTTTTATTGCTTTTAGTGGTCTAAAAAAACTTTTAAAAAAGTATTGCCTTCCATCCTGTTTTTTACATGACTATTGTTAGCCATGCATCCTCAAGGTTTCTAATAAGTGCATGAATTGCTGTGTTTACTGTCAATTATTGGTAATGTAAGAATCCAAAGGGGTGTTTAATGTCTTAATGATTATGTGTTTTCTAGCAGCAGTAAAAATACTGTTTATTTGCGACATAAAACTTTCTACTTTAGAAATGTTGAGATTGTGGTACATAGGAACTGGTTAGCCTTGCTGTGAATTTGGGAATCGGGATTATTCAGGGAAAAAGCAATTGCTGGATTGGCTTCTCAGTGAGACCCATTTCTGGTATACACAACTGCACAAAGCTTATATAAAGTGTTCTATTATCTTACCACTTTAGTTCTGATGTTATTGTTTTTATTTTAGGAAAATTAAGTGATTATTTTAAAAATAATAAGCATAACTCTATAAGATTGTCTGTAGACTTTGTTTTTATCAAGACAAACTTCTGGAATTATCTTTAGAACAGCAGCATTTTTTCAGTAGATAATTAGAACATTAATTAACAGTTTGGCGAAACAAACACAGGAAGGCCCAGAGAAGTGATTCTCAATTTTTTGATCTTTGTATCCTTTTTTCTTTTTCTTTTTCTTTTTTGACAGGCAGAGTGGACAGTGAGAGAGACAGAGAGAAAGGTCTTCCTTTGCCGTTGGTTCACCCTCCAATGGCTGCTGCGGCCGACGAGCTGCGGCCGGCGCACCGCGCTGATCCGAAGCCAGGAGCCAGGTGCTTTTCCTGGTCTCCCATGTGGGTGCAGGACCCAAGCACTTGGGCCATCCTCCACTGCACTCCCGGGCCACAGCAGAGAGCTGGACTGGAAGAGGGGCAACTGGGACAGAATCCCTGACCGGGACTAGAACCTGGGGTGCCGGTGCCGCAGGCGGAAGACTAGCCTATTGAGCTGCGGCGCTGGCCTCAGTATCCCTTTTAAATTCTGTCTTCCTCTCTTCCTTCCTCTTTCTCTCTCCCCCACTCTCCTTTTTCTTTTTTTAAAGATTTATCCATTTATTTGAAAGAGAGTTACAGAGAGAGAGGGAGAGGGAGAGAGAGAGAGAGAAAGAGAGAGAATCTTCTATCTGCTGGTTTACTCTCCAAATGGCTGTAATATCTGGGCTGGGCTGGGCTGGGTTGAAGCCTGGAGCCATGAACTCCATCCTGGTCTCACACAGGGGTGGCAGTGGCCCAACCACTTGAACCATCTTCTGCTGCCTTCCAGGAACATTAGCAGGGAATTGAATTGGAAGTGGAGCAGCCAGAACCAAAATTGGCACCCATATGGGTTGCTGGTGTTGCAGGCTGCAGCTTTACACACTGTGTCACAATGCTGGCCCATAGATTTTTTTTTAAAAAGATTTATTTATTTATTTATTTATTTTTTGAAGGCAGAGGCAGAGAGAGAAAGAGAGGTCTTCGTCCGCTGGCTCACTCCTCAGATGGCCATAACAGCCCGAGCTGTGCCTATCTGAAGCCAGGAGCCTGGAGCTTCTTCCGGATCTCCCATATGGACAGGTTCAGGGGCCGAAGCAACTTGGGCCATATTCTACTGCTCTCTCAGGCTATAGCAGAGAGCTGTACTGGAAGTGGAGCAGCTGAGACTTGAACCAGCTGCCCATATGGAATGGTGGCACTGAAAGCTGTGGCATTACCTGCTATACCACAGTGCTAGTCCCTGGCCCATAGATTTTTTTTTTTTTTTTTTTTATGTTTGTTGTGGCGTTTTTACAGGCAGAGTGGACAGTGAGAGAGAGAGACAGAGAGAGAAAGGTCTTCCTTTTGCCGTTGGTTCACCCTCCAATGGCCGCCGCTGCAGCCGGCGCACCGCGCTGATCCAATGGCAGGAGCCAGGATCCAGGTGCTTTTTCCTGGTCTCCCATGGGGTGCAGGGCCCAAGCACCTGGGCCATCCTCCACTGCACTCCCTGGCCATAGCAGAGAGCTGGCCTGGAAGAGGGGCAACCGGGACAGAATCCGGCTCCCCAACCGGGACTAGAACCCGGTGTGCCGGCGCCGCAAGGTGGAGGATTAGCCTATTGAGCCACGGCGCCGGCCTGGCCCATAGATTTTTAAAAATTATTGAAGACCGGGGCCAGCACTGTGGTATAGCAGATAAAGCTACCGCCTGTAGTGCCGGCATCCCATATGGACGCCAGTTTGAGTTCTGGCTGCTCCACCTCTGTCCAGCTCTCTGCTACGGCCGGGGAAAGCAGTAGAAGATGACCTAGGTCTTTGGGCCCTGCACCTGCGTGGGAAGGCCTGGAAGAAGCTCCTGGCTCCTGGCTTTGGATCGGTGCAGCTTCGGCTATTGTGGCCAATTGGGGAGTGAACCAGCGGATGGAAGACCTCTATCTCTCTGCCTCTCCTCTCTCTGTGTAATTCTGACTTTAATAAATAAATAAATCTTAAAAAAATATTGAAGACTGGGGCTGCTGCTGTGGCATAGTGGGTAAAGCCACCACCTGCAGTGCCAGCAACCCATATGGGTGCCAGTTGGAGTCCCAGCTGTTTTACTTGCAATTCAGCTCTCTGCTATGGCTTAGGAAAGCAGTAGAAGATGGCCCAAGTTCTTGAGACCTGGGCCTAGCTGGAAGACTTTCTCTCTCTCTCTGCTTCTCCTTTTCTATTTAAATCTTTCAAATAAATAAATCTTTAAAAAAATTACTAAGACCCTAAAGAAATTCTATTTAACTGGGTTATCTATATTATTATTTACTGTGTTAGAATAAAATGAAAAATTTAAAAAATACTTAGTTCATTTAAAATAATAGATGTCAATATAACTTTTTCAGTAAAAATGCATTAAAAATTAATGAGAAAGGTGATACTTTCATGCTTCTGCAACTATCTTTAATATCTAACTCATGGAAAACATCTAAATTTGCAATTCTGCTCCTGCATTCAATTTGGAAAACTGTATACCTGGGAGAGAATGAGAATGAAATAGACAAATAATATTTTAGTAATACAGTGTTATAAAAATAGTTTTGACCTCTTAGATACTCTGAAGGGGTTTGGGGAACTCTGGACCACATTTTGAGAACTGCTAGTCTGGAAGTCATCTGACTAGTTTGTGAAGATACCTGGTGAAGTATCTTCTGACCTTGAAGTCAGGTGAAGAGTGCTTAAAGAAACTTATTTGCTTATCTTGGCATACTTGGTATATTAAACCTGGTAAAATTTATTTATTTATTTATTTATTTATTTTGACAGGCAGAATTAGACAGTGAGAGAGAGACAGAGGGAAAGGTCTTCCTTCCGCTGGTTCACCCACCAAATGGCTGCCATGGCTGGCGTGCTGCGCTGATCCGAAGCCAGGAGCCAGGTGCTTCCTCCTGGTCTCCCATGCAGGTGTAGGGCCCAAGGACCTGGGCCATCCTCCACTGCACTCCCGGGCCACAGCAGAGAGCTGGACTGGAAGAGGAGCAACCAGGACAAATTCCAGCTTCCCAACCGGGACTAGAACCCAGGGTGCTGGTGCTGCAGGCGGAGGATTAGCCTAGTGAGCTGCAGCACCGGCCAAATTTATTTATTTTTAAGACTTATTAATTTATTTGAAAGAGCAACACAGAGACTGAGAGAGAGAGAGAGAGAGAGAGAGAGAGAGACTGAGAAACTGATCCTCTACCTGCTGTCACTCCCCAAATGTCTGCAATAGCCAGGGCCTATACCAATGGAAGCCAGGATCCAGGAACTCCATCTAGGTCTCCCATTTGGGTGGCAGTGGCCCAGGCACTTAGGCCCTCATCCATTGTATTCCCAGGCACATTAGTGGGAAGCTGGATTAGAGGTCCAACAGCTGGGACTTGAACTGGCATTCAGATATAGGATACCAGTATTGCAAGCAGTGGCAGAATCTGTAAAATTAAAATTAATGAAGTAAAATTTAGATTAAGTAAGAAACATTTTGGTAGAGAACTGGTACATTGGCCCTGTGATGATTAAGGAAAATATCTGCTGAGACCTATGATGAAAAAATCAATTATTTGTTGCTATGTGGTTCTTGCTATTAGCAAGATGGGTATCCTATTTCTGTGTTTAATTTTTTAAAATTAATTAATTAATTTGGAAGACAGAGTTATAGAGATAGAAGGAGAGAGAGAACTTAAGTCTGCTGGTTCATTACCTCAATGGCCACAATAGCCAGAGCTGGGCCAGGCTGAAGCCAGGAGCTTCATCTGTATGTTTCATGTGGACAGCAGGGGCCCAAGTACTTGGACCATCTTCTGCTGCTTTCTGAGACACATTAGCTGGGAGTTGGCTTGGAATTGGAGCAGCCAGGACTTGAACTGGTGACCATACAGGATGCCAGTGTCACAGGAGGCAGCTTAACTCACTCTACCACAATGCCGGCTCCTAATTTTTCTTATTTAACTGTGAGTACTTGAAGGGTTCATTCTATATAAATACTTCTCTTAGGTATGATAGGGTATTTTATGTTCTAATGACACTATAGTTTGAGAAAATGTTAATATAATATTGTAGTATAGGAAATACATTAATATATTCAAATGAAGTGAAAGTTGTGCCATTTTTTTTCTAATCGAAAACCAATGGGGCTGGGACTGTAGCTTAGTACATTAAGCCTCCGCCTGCAGCACTGAGATCCTGTATGGGTGTCTGTTCAAGTCCCAGCTGCTCCAGTACTGATCCAGCTCTCTGCTAATGGCCTGAGAAAGCAGTGGAAGAAGGCCCACATGGAATACCCAGAGGAAGCTCCTTGCTCCTGGCTTCGGATTGGCCCAACTCTGGCTATTTAGCCATTTGGGGAGTGAACCAGCAGATGGATGACTTTTCTCTCTGTCTCCCTGTTTCTGTCTGTAGCTCTGCCTCTCAAATAAATAAATAAATCCTTTTTTTTAAAAAAAAAAGGAAAAGAGAAGTCGTTGCTTTTATTTAATGTGTATACTGTGTATCTAACTATATTTCATTAGAAGTTTGGTGATTTTCCTATTTGATAATGCTTTTTGATTTTATTCTCATCAGTATTTAGATGCTGAATACCTTTGTATTTTTCTTAAAGGTAGAAAAGTTAGTACATGTTTATGGTTGCAATATTTAATTAAGTAGGTAGAAAAAGATTTAAATATGATTAGGTCTATGTGATATGACATTTTAAAAAACTGGTATTAAAGAGGGAAGCAGCCTGAATGGAAAGAATATAGACTTTGAAAATAGATGGCATAGGTTGCAAATTGTCTTTGCTTCTTATCCACCCTGCCCAAAGTTTATATGGCTAGTACTTAATCTTTCTGAGCATCTGTTTTCTCTTTTGTCAAGTTGGACTAACATCTATCTTTCAGAGCAGAGGGGATCTGATGTACTGTACTGTATCAATTTCTTTTTTCTTTTTCTTTTTCTTTTCTTTTTTTTTTTTTTTTTTGACAGGCAGAGTGGACAGAGAGAGAGACAGAGAGAAAGGTCTTCCTTTGCCGTTGGTTTACCCTCCAATGGTCGCTGCGGCTGGTGCGCTGCGGCCGGCTCATCGCGCTGATCCGAAGCCAGGAGCCAGGTGCTTTTCCTGGTCTCCCATGGGGTGCAGGGCCCAAGCACCTGGGCCATCCTCCACTGCACTCCCTGGCCATAGCAGAGAGCTGGCCTGGAAGAGGAGCAACCAGGACAGAATCCGGCACCCCGACCGGGACTAGAACCCGGTGTGCCGGCGCCGCAGGCGGAGGATTAGCCTATTGAGCTGCAGCACCGGCCACTGTATCAATTTCTAGCATAATATTTGGTACATGGTACATGTTAAAGATTATTATTGATTATGTTATTCCAAGTCTACCTCTTTGTGTTCTTTTTTTTTTTAAATTTTTTTAATTTTAATTTTTTTTTTTTTTTTTTTTTTTATTTTTTGACAGGCAGAGTGGACAGTGAGAGAGAGAGACAGAGAGAAAGGTCTTCCTTTGCCGTTGGTTCACCCTCCAATGGCCGCCGCGGCTGGCGCGCTGCGGCCGGCGCACCGCGCTGATCCGATGGCAGGAGCCAGGAGCCAGGTGCTTTTCCTGGTCTCCCATGGGGTGCAGGGCCCAAGCACCTGGGCCATCCTCCACTGCACTCCCTGGCCACAGCAGAGAGCTGGCCTGGAAGAGGGGCAACCGGGACAGAATCCGGCGCCCCGACCGGGACTAGAAGCCGGTGTGCCGGCGCCGCTAGGCGGAGGATTAGCCTAGTAAGCCGCGGCGCCGGCCTGTGTTCTTTTTTTAAAAAAAATTAATTTACTTAAAGGCAGAATGACTGAGAGGGAGAGACTGAGGAGATCGTCTGTCCATTGGTTCATGCTCTAAATGGCTGCAACAACTGGGTTGGGCCAGCTTGAAGTCAGAGCCTGGAGTTTCCTGCATGGGTAGCACGTGCCAAGCACTTGGGCCGTATTCTACTGCTTTCCCATTACTTGCTGTGCCAAGATACTGGGCTCCTCTTTGTGTTTTCTTGCAGTGAAAAACCTTAAACAGATTTTTTTCCCCATTATTTATCTTTAATGCTTAAACTGGGGCTGTGTTTCATCCATTTTATTTTTGTAAGTTTTATAGTCTTCTGGTTATAACATCTTTTTTTTTTTTTTTAGAATTTATTTTTTTTAAATATTATTTGAAAGGCAGATTGGCAGGGAAAGAGGGAGAGACACAGAGAAAGAGAGCTTCCATCCTTAGTTTCACTTGCCAAATGGCTGCAGTAGTTGGGGCTGGACCAGGCTGAAGCCAGGAATCAGAAATTCTATCTGGGTTTTGCTTGTGGGTGGCAGGGCCCAAGTACTTGGACCTTCTTCCACTGTTTTCCGAGGCACATTAATAGGGAGGTGGATTGGAAGTGGAGCAGCTGCGACATATACCAGCACTCCAGTATGGGATGCAGGTGTCACAGGCTGTGGCTTAACTTGTGCCACAGTGCCAGCCCCTGGTTATAACATTTTATGAGTTTATGAAAATGTCACTCTGTCACTTTTTTTGTTTCCATTGCCTTTGTCCAGTTCCTTGTCATCTCACATTTGAAATTTATAATTAAGGTAATAGTTGCTAACATTTGTTGAATAATTTTTCTAGACTAATTAAATGTTAATATTAGTAGCAAATGTTTTTATATGTACTGTTTCTCTTAGCCACATAGCAACCTTATAAAATATGCATTATTATTATTATTATTCTAGTTTATAGATGGAAACTGAGACTTAGGTTTAGTAATTTATTTCTATTACTAGCTTACAGCTAGCAAGTACCAGAGTAGGTCTGTCTGCCTGACTGTAATGCCCAGGCTCTTAACCAGTACCTGCTAACTGGTTGTTCTGTTTCTAATTTCTTCTTCCCTTGTCCATATACGATTGTCCTGAATTCTTCAATCAAAATAATACTAATAAAACATTATTTTCATTCTCTTAATGTCCTTCTCTGAAATAATCACCACACTCCATTTCTTTTTTTTTTTTTAAGTTTATTTATTTATTTGAAAGGCAAAATGACAAAGAAACAGAGAGGTATCTTCTATCTGCTGGTTTACTCCCCAAATATCTGCAACAATCAGAGCTGGGCCAGACCAAAGCCAGGAGCCAGGAACTCCAAACAGGTCTCACAAATTATGTCAGAAACCTAAGTACTTAGACTATCATACGCCTTCCATGTACATTAGCAGGAAGCTGGATCTGAAGCAGATGTGGAACTTCATCCCAGATACTCCAATATAGGATGCTGTGTTCCAAGCAGTGGCTTAACCTGCTGTACCACAATGCCTACTCTCTATTTCTTTGAAGCAGGGGCCATATTCTTAAACTTGGCATATATGATATTTAGTATTATGCACCAAATTATATTCATAACTTTAATATTAATCATCTGTTCACATTTCTACTCTAGCCCAATACTCTGAATACTCTGAATACTCATTCGTACCTTCAAGCTTTTGGTTATACTGCTTCCTATGTAGAATATACCCATCCTGTCCCTATCTGTAAATCGGGATCCTGTGCTTGTCCTTTACTTGATTTTTAACTTTTATATATTTTACTTGAAAGGCACAGAGAGAGTGACAGACAGAGGGGTCCCATTTGTGGGTTTACTCTGAAAGTGTCTGCAAATCTGGGGCTAGGTCAGGCTGAAGCTGGAAGCCAGGAACTCAATTCAGGTCTGCTACATGGGTGGTAGGGACCCAAGGACTTGAGCCATCACCTGTGGCCTCTCAGGGTACTCATTAGCTGGAAGCTAGAATTGGGAGTGGAACAGGGATTAGAATCCAGGCACTGTGATATGTGATATGGGTATCCCAAGCAATGTCTTAACCACTATGCCAAAAAATTCTCCCCCACCCCTACTTTCTTCTTAAAACTTCCTCCCAGGCCGGCGCCGAGGCTCAATAGGCTAATCCTCCACCTAGCGGCTCCGGCACACCGGGTTCTAGTCCCGGTCGGGGAACCGGATTCTTTCCTGGTTGCCCCTCTTCCAGGCCAGCTCTCTGCTGTGGCCAGGGAGTGCAGTGGAGGATGGCCCAAGTGCTTGGGCCCTGCACCCCATGGGAGACCAGGAGAAGCACCTGGCTCCTGGCTTCGGATCAGCGCGGTGCACCAGCCACAGTGCGCCGGACATGGCGGCCACTGGAGGGTGAACCAACGGCAAAAGGAAGACCTTTCTCTCTGTCTCTCTCTCTCACTATCCACTCTGCCTGTCAAAACAAAAAATTAAAAAAAAAAAAAATTTAAAACTTCCTCCCAGAAATCTAGGACTGTGTCCCTTTGTATGTGGGACTATGGTCTTTTATTTTGACATGAAATTGTAAATGTATTTCATAAATGAGTGTAATTCATTTCTTTAACAAAACAAGTTTTTGGGGTCTGGCTGTTGTTTTTCTTCCATATGTTTTTTTCTTTAAATATCCAGTGCCCGGGTGTTTTATTAAATCTTAGGCCTATGGATCCAACCAACTTAATTTTGTGACTTAAGTTTTAAAATGTTGATATTGTTTATTATTAAGATGTAACCTTTAAACTTGGAAAGATAATTCATTCTAGCAAGGGAAATAACTAAAAAAGTGCAATACTCAATGTTATTAGCAAGATTTTGTGGTTTGTAATAAAAGTAAATTTTGATGAATTGGAAATCAGTATAAGTTTTTAAAAGTTGATAGGTTAGTTTTGCCCAGCATAGGACAAGTTGGAAACTTCAGTTATCCAATGTATTGTTATACTTGTTAACTTTAGAATGTGTAGGACTTGGGGCAAACATTGTGGTGTAGCTGCTGCCTGTGATGCTAGCATACCATGTGAGCACCGGTTTGAGACTCGGCTGCTCCATTTCTGATCCAGCTCCCTCCTAATGCACCTGGGAAATCAGCTGAAGATGGCCCAAGGTCTTGGGCCCCTGTCACCCGTGTAGGAAACCCTGATGAGTTCCACGCTCCTGGCTTTGGGCTGGCCTAGTCCTGGGTGTTGTGACCATTTGGGGAGTAAACCAACAGATAGATGATCTCTCTCTCTCTCCCTCTTCCTCTCTCTGCCTCCGACTCTGCCTTTCAAATAATTAAATAAATCTTAAATGTGTAGGACTTGACTTGGGATAACAAGATAAGGTCTGCTATTCATCCTTATTAAGATTGCTCTGCCTGTCAAAAAAAAAAAAGATTAATTTCTGAATTGGCTTCCCATATTTGGTACATTTTTTTGTTTCTTGTTCATATAAAGTAAGAGTTATTTAAGTTTTTTTTTTATCTTTTATTTAATGAATATAAATTTCCAAAGTACGTCTCATGGGTTACAATGGCTTTCCCCCCCATACCGTCCCTCCCACCCACCACCCTCCCCTTTCCCACTCCCTCTCCCCTTCCATTCACATCAAGATTCATTTTCGATTATCTTAGTATACAGAAGATCAGCTTAGTATACCTTAAGTAAGGATTTCAACAGTTTGTTCCCACACAGAAACATAAAGTGAAAAATAATAGATGATTTTTTTTTAAATGATGATGAAATCAGATCAGACCTATTGTCATGTTTAATCCCAGTGAGAGTCAAGTTGGGAATTGATAGTTTCTTTTTTTTTTTTTTTAACAGAAGATCAGTTTAGTGTACATTAAGTAAAGATTTCAATCGTTTGCACCCCCATAGAAACACAAAGTGAAATATACTGTTTGAGTACTCGTTATAGCATTAAGCCTCAGTGTACAGCACATTAAGGACAGAGATCCTACATGAGGAGTAAGTGCACAGTGACTCCTGTTGTTGACTTTACAAATTGACACTCCTGTTTATGGCATCAATAATCTCCCTATGCACCAGTCATGAGTTTCCAAGGCTATGGAAGCCCCTTGAGTTCTCCGACTCTTATCTTGTTTAGACAAGGTCATATTCAAAGTGGAGGTTCTCTCCTCCCTTCAGAGAAAGGCACCTCCCTCTTTGAAGACCTGTTCTTTCCACTGGGATCTCACTCACAGAGATCTTTTTGCCAGAGTGTCTTGGCTTTCCATGCCTGAAATACTCTCATGGGCTTTTCAGCCAGATCCGAGTGCCTTTAGGGCTGATTCTGAGGCCAGAGTTATTTAAGTTTTAAAAGCAGAAGTGGCACTGGTCTAGGTCCAGCCTGCCAAATCATACTATTTTATGTGTCCCATGTCAGTTCAAACATTGCCCTGTATCCTGTTCTTTTTATAAGGAGTGATTAGATATTAATTACTGTGAAGGCCAGGGGCAGTCTTTTTTTTTTTTAATTTATTTATTCATATGAAAGGCAGAGTTACAGAGAAGCAGAGGCAGAGAGAGAGAGAGAGGTGTCTCCTCAAATGGCCACAATGGCCGGAGCTGGGCCAATCTGAAGCCAGGAGCCTGGAGCTTCTCTCTCCAAATGGCTGAAATAGCCGGAGCTGAGCCTATCTGAAGCTGGGAACCAGGAGCTTCTTCTGGGTCTCCCACAAGCGTGTAGCAGTCCAAGCACTTGGACCATCCTCTGCTGTTTCCCCAGGTACATTAGCAGGGAACTGGAATTCAAATCAGTGCCTATATAGGATGCAGACATTGTAGGCCAGGGCTTTAACCCACTGTGCCACAGTGCCAGCCCCAGAAAAGTTTATTTTTATTTATTTGAAAGGCAGAGCGCAAGTGAGATCCCAGTGGAAAGAATGGGCCATCAAAGAAGGAGGTGCCTTTCTCTGAAGGGAGGAGAGAACTTCCACTTTGACTATGACTTTGTCTAACTGAGATCTGAGTTGGCGAACTCAAAAGGCTTCCATAGCCTTGGCAACTCATGACAAGAGCCTAGGGTGATTACTGACTCCATAAACAAGAGTGTCAATTTGTTAAGTCAACAACAGGAGTCACTGTGTACTTAACTCCTCATGTAGGATCTCTGTCCTTAATGCATTGTACATTGTGATTTAATGCTATAACTAGTACTCAAAAAATACTTTATACTTTGTGTTTCTGTGTGGGTGCAAACTGTTGAAATCTTTACTTAATATATGCTAAACTGATCTTCTGTATATAAAGATAATTGAAAATGAATCTTGATGTGAATGGAATGGGAGAGGGAGTGGGAGATGGGAGGGTTGCAGGTGGGAGGGAAATTATGGGAGGGAAAAGCCACTGTAATCCATAAGCTGTACTTTGGAAATTTATATTTGTTAAATAAAAGTTTTAAAAAAAAGAAAGGCAGAGCAACAGAGAGATATATATATAAAGAGATCTTTCATCTACTGGTTCACTTCCCAAATGCTCAAAGATAAAAGATATTTCTTGTTGTCTTTTTTTTTTTTTTTTTTTTGAGAGTGGAAGGTTTCTCTGAAAACCTCTACATTTTTTGGGCCAGAATTGAATAATATGCTACTTTCTGATCCAACCACTTTCATTACCCTTAGTCTAAGTACGTCCCTGAATCTGGGATGGTGTTAGCTTCCCCTGAGGCATATGGTTGTATTTGGGAGAGAATGTCAAGAAGGAAGTGGGAAGGCCACTCTGGAAAGTAATTAGGAAAAATACAGCTGTCATCAAAGTTCTTGTCTGTGTTTGTAAATAAAAAGTAATAAGGTTGGGCATGGTGGCGTCCTTGGGGACATCTATATCCTATATTGGAGTGCCTAGTTTGAGTCCAGCTTCCTGCTAATGTACCTGAGAGGCTGTGGATGATGGCTCAAGTATTTGGGTTCCTGCCACCCTGTGGAAAATCCAAATTCAGTTCCTGGCTTCTGGCTTTGTCCTAGCCTAGCCCCAGTTGTTGCAGGCATTTTGGGAAGTGGATCAGCAATTGAGAGATCTCTGTCTCCCTCTCTCTCTGTTATTCTGTCTATTAAACAAATATTTTAAAGTAGTAATAGCAAATTTATTTTTTCCTTTTCATAACAAATCTAGCTATGGGAAACTCATTTTCATTTTCAGAATTGAAATCAGGGTCATATACTATCAAGAGTTAAATATAAGGGCAGCGCCGGCACACCGGGTTCCAGTCCCGGTCGGGGCGCCGGATTCTGTCCCGGTTGCCCCTCTTCCAGGCCAGCCCTCTGCTGTGGCCAGGGAGTGCAGTGGAGGATGGCCCAGGTGCTTGGGCCCTGCACCCTATGGGAGACCAGGAAAAGCACCTGGCTCCTGGCTCCTGCCATCGGATCAGCGCGGTGCGCCGGCCGCAGCGCGCCGGCCGCGGCGGCCATTGGAGGGTGAACCAACGGCAAAGGAAGACCTTTCTCACCTGTCTCTCTCTCTCACTGTCCACTCTGCCTGTCAAAAAAAAAAAAAAAAGAGTTAAATATAAGACAAGCCTTTTTCTGTCTTTCTTATCAATTGTGTACTAGAAGGTGAGGGAGCTGACTTATCTGGCAGTTTTTTCATTTGAGGAATATAGGCTTTGGATGACTGACCACTCACATCAGTTTGTGAGGAAAAAATGAATCTTGTTTGTACCCTAATTGAAGACCAACGAGTAACAGCAGAAATGATATCCAGCATTATAGATTTCAGTTGTTTCAATTTACAGAAACAATTTTTACAGAAACAATTCTTTTTTTATTTTTTAAGATTTATTTATTTGAAAGAGTTACACAGAGAAGGAGAGGCAGAGAGAGAGAGAGAGAGAGAGAGAGAGGTCTTCCATCCACTGGTTCTCTCCCCAGATGGTCGCAATGGCTGGAGCTGCGCTGATCCGAAGCCAGGAGCTAAGAGTTTCTTTGGTCTCCCACGTGGGAGCAGGGGCCCAAGGACTTGGGCCATCTTCTGCTGCTTTCTCAGGCCATAGCAGGGAGCTGGATTGGAAGCAGAGCAGCTGGGAGACAAACTTTCACCCATATGGGATGCCAGCACTGCAGGTGGCGGCTTTACCCCCTACGCCATATCGCTGGCCTCAGAAATAATTCTGACTGAAAAATAATATGGAGTAATTTTTTTGCTTGGTGTTTACCAAAACTTGCTCCCAGATCAGCTGCAGAAAAAGCAGAACTTTGAATGGAGATTAAAAACAGGTAGGATCAAGATCCGGAAGGATTTCTTTAAAGAATTCTAACAGGCAATGAAATGACTTATCAGTATGAACCTGAAGACAAAGCACAACCAAAATAATGGCAATGAAGAGGTGAAAGTGGTCCAATCAAAGTGCAACTAGACAAATCAAAACAGGCCTTTTCTTCTCAACAGTTTATGCACAGGAATAATTTTATGCAGATTGGAAAGCAAATAATTATACATTACATATTTTTGTATTCAGGGAAAGCATATGGTTCTTGTCTTTTTGGGACTGGCTTATTTCACTAATTTTGGCTCAAAGTCTAAATGAACTTAATATCTTGTAACCACACAGGAAGTATTTAGATGTTACGTTGTTATTGGTTCTGTTTCACTGAAAGAAATTATACATGACTAATTGACAAAAAATTGTATATGAGTGAAATGATCATTTATACATTCAATAATTTATAGCTGTTATTGATATTCATATTAAATTAGGGTCTTTTTGCTTTTTACTTGTTGAACTTCTTATTCAGTGAAGTATTAAACCTTTTTATTGTAATGTAAATTTAAAATATCTTTTTTTTAAAATGAACTCCCTGAACTTTTTTAATATTTTATTTATTTATTTGAAATTCAGAGTTACATAGAGAGAGGAGAGGCAGAGAGAGAGAGAGATAGAGGTATTCCCCAATTGGCCTCAATGGCCGGAGCTGTGCCGATCCAAAGCCAGGAGCCAGGAGCTTCTTCCAGGTCTCCCACATGGTGGCAGGGGCCCAAGGACTTGCACCATCTTCTACTGCCTTCCCAGGTCATAGCAGAGAGCTGGATTGGAATGGAGCAGCCAGGACTAGAATCGGTGCCCATATGGGGTGCTGGTGCTTCAGGCCAGGGTGTTAACCTGCTGCGTCAAGTCCGACCCCTAAAATATCTTAAAAACTAAAAAAAAAAAAGAAAGGTGGAAGGAAGAGTGTGAGGGAGGAGGTGAATATCATTATGTTCTTAGACTTGTATCTACAAATTGTATTGAATCTGTTAAAAAATTAATTAAAACAATATTTTTAAGATAAAACAATAGCTATGGGAATAGTTTTTTGAAATGCTGAAGTAATTTTGTATGTTCACTTTCTGAAGGGTCAAAGGGCAATAATATCTGCTTATTAGGAGAGTATGTTTTGACAACCCAAAGTTTTAGCAGAAAAATGGGAAAGCTTCATCAGAGAGTTTTTCTCCACAATAGTGCTCCTGCTAATTCCTCTCATCTAGCAAGAAAATTTTATGCAGGCTTAAAAAAAGTGTTTTTTTTGTTTTGTTTTGTTTTGTTTTTAGCAGGGAGAGAGACAGAGATAGAAAAATCTTTTGTCTACTGGTTTATTCCCTAATGCCCATGACAGCTGGGGCTGGAGCTGGAGCTAGGAACTAAATCTGGGTCTCCCATGTGGTTTTTAGGGACCATCACCATCTTCCTTCTAGAGTGCACAATTCTAGCAAGAATTGAGAGCAGAGCTGAGACTTGAACCTAGGCATTCTGATACGGGATATGTGTGTCTCAAGCAGTGTCCTAACAGTTGTAACAAATGCCCACCCTGAGAGTTTTGATGGCAGAACATTTGGCATCTACTTTACAGTCCTGATTTGGTTCCTTTTTTTTTTTTTTTTTTTTAAAGATTTATGTATTTGAAAAGCAAAGGAACAGAGAAAGAATAAGAGAGTGAGAGAGAGAGAGACAGAGTGCTTCCATCCAACAATGGTTTACTCCCCAAATTCATGCAAAAGCCAGGGCTGGGCCAGACTGAAACCAGGAGCCAGGAACTCCATCTGAGTCTCCCAAGTACTTGAACCATTATCTGTCTCCTTCCCAGGTGCATTAGCAGGAAGCTGGATTGGGAGCAGAGTAGCCCAAACTGAAGCAGGCACTCTAATCTGAGATATGGGCATCCTAAGTGGTGATTTAACCTGCAGTGCCATAGTGCCTTCTTTAGTATATGACTTTAAAGTAAGACATACATTATATCTTTGAATTAACATATGTAAGTATTGATTTATCTAATATGTTGGAAATCTAGAGGCAGTATAATGGAGTAATTAAGAAAGGGGCTTTGGAATCAGAGCATCTGAGTTCAGATTGTGCCTTTGCCACTTTAGAATATGTTACTTGGGAAGTTTAGTTATCTTTTCTGTGTTGTGGTTTCCCCAGCTAAAAATGGGGTGATAAAGGATTCAGTAAATCAATAATTGTAGTATACTTAGTGTAGTACCTGGAATATATTAAATATCCATACATTGTTTGTGTATTCATGTTTTTCAAGGGATATTTGATTGTCAAACTCTGTGAGCAAAGCATAGCAGGGAACAAAGCAACAAAAATTTCTGCCTTCATGGTGTGTATATTTCTTTTTTTTTTTAAGATTTATTTTATTTATTTGAAACACAGAGTTACAGAGAGAGTTAGAGACACAGAGAGAAGTCTTCCATCCACTGGTTCACTCCCCAGATTGCCTCAATGGCCAGAGCTATGCTGATCTGAAGCCAGGAGCTTCTTCCAGGTCTTCCATGCGGGTGCAGGGGCCCAAGGACTTGGGCCATCTTCTATTTTTATTATTTATTTATTTATTTTGACAGGCAGAGTGGACAGTGAGAGAGAGAGACAGAGAGAAAGGTCTTCCTTTTCCATTGGTTCACTCCCCAATGGCCGCTGCACTACGGCCAGTGCACCATGCTGATCCGAAGCCAGGAGCCAGGTGCTTCTCCTGGTCTCCCATGCAGGTGCAGGGCCCAAGCACTTGGGCCATCCTCCAGTGCCTTCCCGGGCCACAGCAGAGAGCTGGCCTGGAAGAGGGGCAACCGGGACAGAATCCGGCGCCCCGACCGGGACTAGAACCCGGTGTGCCGGAGCCGCTAGTGGAGGATTAGCCTATTGATCCGCGGTGCCAGCCCAGGCCAGGGCTTTAACCCGTTGCACCACAGTGTCAGCCCTGGTGTGTACATTTCTAAATAAAAGGGGAGAGAGAGAATAAACAAATTCTTAAATGAAGTACATAGTGATGGTGATAAATGTTATGGAGAAACAGCTGAGAACAAAAATAGACAGTTCTGGGTGAGGGGAACTGCTGTGAGGGAAGCACGCCATTCAGATAGATGACAGGTGGAGGATGGGGGAGTGGGCCAGGTGGAGAATGTCAGGTGATTGACCAGGTGAAGGAGCATCTTTGTGAGATGTTCAGTGATGACCTGTGAGGCCAGTGTGACTGGAATGGAAACAGGGGAAGGTAGTAAGAAATGAAGAGAAGTAATGGTGTGAGTGATGAGGGTTTCTAAACATGTAGAGCATTTTAAGACATTCAAAGAACTTTGGGTTTTAAAATTTGAGATAGGAAGCCATCAGAATGTATTGGACACTGATACATAGATGATTCCTGACTTAAAAGAATCATCTGGCTGCTGGCAAAAAGTAGGGAATGATGGAAGTGTAGTAACTGGTTAGGTGGCTCTTGTACCAATCAAGCTGGAGGGATGATAATGGCTTGGGCAAGGGTAGAAGTTATGGAAGTGACAAAAAGTGGTTCCATACTGAATATGCTGAATATTAGTATTACCAGTTATGTAGCATGTTATTTCCAAACTGTCTTCGTCTATTTTCTGATTTCTTAGCTTTATATTTCTCCATATGCTTGTTAAAAATTAACTTTTAAAATAATACTAAAATTGTTTGCGTGTCTGTGTATGCATCGTCTCTCTCTCTCCTCTCTCTCTCTTTCTCTCTCTCTCTCTCTATATATATATACAAAATCTAAATTTTTACTTATTTTTTATTTATGGTGGGGAGAAAAAAGGGAGGGAAGGAGGAAAACAGAGACAAATCTCCATCTACTTGTTCATGCTCCCAAATTCTCAGAAAAGCTAGAGCTGGGCCAGGAACTCAATCCAGGATTCCTACATGGATGACAGGTACCCCAAGCACTCAAGTCATCACCTGCTACCTCCCAGGGTGTACATTATCAGGAATCTGGAATCTGGAGTAGATCTGGGACTCGAACCCTGGAACTTGGATTTGGGACAGTGGAGTCCTAAATGGCATCTTAACTGTTATGCCAAATACACACACCTGTTTAGATATTTTTGATGCATTTTTAATCTTTTTTTGAGGTGTTATAATTCTGATCTGTGATGCTTGGTTGCCAAGTATATGTGGCTTTAGTTATTTGATGAAGTCGTACTCATGAGTTACTTATATAAATTTTGCTGTCTAAATGTAGACTGTTCTATAATTTACTTGCAAAAGTAACTTTGGAAAGGAAATTTTCCTGAAATTTTTAGTTTCTTTTGTGGGCCATGAAAGGGAAAACAATGAAATTGAGAAAGAAGCCATGTTTAATTTCATTGGCTGGGGCTGGTGCTGTGGCTCACTTGGTTAATCCTCTGCCTGCAGCACTGGCATCCCACATGGGCGCTGGGTTCTAGTCCCGATTGCTCCTCTTCCAGTCCAGCTCTCTGCTGTGGCGCGGGAGGGCAGTGGAGGATGGTCCAAGTGATTGGGCCCCTGCACCCGCATGGGAGACCAGGAAGAAGCACCTGGCTCCTGGCTTTGGATCAGCGCAGTGCCGGCCGTGGCGGCCATTTGGGGAGTGAACCAATGGAAGGAAGACCTTTCTCTCTGTCTTTCTCTCACTGTCTATAACTCTACCTGTCAAAAAAAAAAAAAAAAAGTAATTTAAATCTTCATTCTATAATCTCAAAAATGCCAAAGTAGATTACATTCACAACCTACTGCTATACTGTTTAACATCCTATTTCATCATCTTTGATGGCTAATCCCAAACTTGCTTCTCTCAAAAGATGCCAACTCATAACAGCTCAAGTAGTTTCATTGTTTTTTTTTTTTTTTTCTTGCCTTCTCAAAACTATTAGTTACTATCCAGGGGTACCTCTCTCTTACTGAATTCTCCCTTAACCTTTTCATTACTCTGATCTAAACAGTAAGGGCCAGGATTCAAGGGAGCAAAACAATAAAAAAAAAACTATCAATATTAATACAAGCAACACTTTTTTTTTTTAAAGATTTATTCTATTTATTTGAAAGGCAGAGTTACAGAGAGAGTTTTTTTTCTTTTCTTGTTCTCGTTCTATTTTTTATTTTTATTTCGACAGGCAGAGTGGACAGTGAGAGAGAGACAGAGAGAAAGGTCTTCCTTTTGCCGTTGGTTCACCCTCCAATGGCTGCCGCGGCTGGTGCGCTGCGGCCGGCGCACCGCGCTGATCCGATGGCAGGAGCCAGGAGCCAGGTGCTTTTCCTGGTCTCCCATGGGGTGCAGGGCCCAAGCACCTGGGCCATCCTCCACTGCACTCCCTGGCCACAGCAGAGAGCTGGTCTGGAAGAGGGGCAACCGGGACAGAATCCGGTGCCCCGACCGGGACTAGAACCCGGTGTGCCGGCGCCGCAAGGCGGAGGATTAGCCTAGTGAGCCGCGGCGCCGGCCTTTTTTTTCTTTTTTTAAAGATTCATTCATTTCAAAGTCAGAATTACAGAGAGAGGAGAGGCAGAGAGAGGTCTTTCATCTGCTGTTCCACTCCCCAGTTGGCCTCAATGGCCGGAGCTGCGCTGATCCGAAGTCAGGAGCCAGGAGCTTCCTCCGGGTCTCCTACATGGGTGCAGGGGCCCAAGGACTTGGGCCATCTTCTAATGCTTTCCCAGGCCATAGCAGAGAGCCAGATCAGAAGAGGAACATCCGGGACTTGAACCAGGGCCCATATGGGATGCTGGTGCTTCAGGCAGTCCCAACACTTTTGTTTCTATTATACTTAGTTGCCACAGGTATTTAACATGTTTTGCATGTTAAGAAGACATCTATTTAGTTTTAAAAAGACCAGTTCTAGTACTTTATGTTTGGCAATAAATTCGTAACATGGTTAGTAGATATCAGAATACTTTTCATCTAAATAACAGAAGATCCAACTCAAATTGGTTAGATATCTATAGGCTTTTTTTAAAAAAAGATTTATTTATTAATTGAAAGAGTTACACAGGGAGCGAAGGAGAGGCATAGAGAGAGGTCTTCCATCTGCTGGTTCACTCCCCAATTGGCCGCAATGGCCGGAACTGTGCCAATCCGAAGCCAGGAGCTAGGAGTTTCTTCTGCGTCTCCCATGCGGATGCAGGGGCCCAAAGACTTGGGCCATCTTCTACTGCTTTCCCAGGCCATAACAGAGAGCTGGATCTGAGGAGGAGCAGCTGGGACTTGAACTGGTGCCCACATGGGATGCCAGCATTGCAGGCGGTGGCTTTACCTGCTACACCACAGCACCAGCTCCAAAGCTAGCAAGCTTTGGCCCTACTCTTTGTGATTCTTTTTGCTTTGCCCTGTATCAGGTTTTTTTCTCAGGCTGTTTGCCCTGGTGGTACAAGATGGTTGCCTTTGGCTTCTGGGAGGCCTGTCTCCACATTCCTGGGAGAGGAGGAGGATGCTTTCCACAAATCTAACACAGAACTCCTGAGCTTCATACCAATTGGGTCATCCCAGTGTTCCAAAGGATCACTGTCTTAAAATCTGCGTAGGTTTTTCTGTGTAGATCAGTAGTTCTTAAACTTGAGTATGCAATCAGAACTACCTGGAGGTCTTGTAAAAACACAGATTGTTAGGCCCTACCCCCAGATTTCTGATTAGGCAGCTCAGGTTGGGTTCTAAGAATTTGCATTTGTAACAAATACCCAGATGTTACTGATTTAGTTGGTTACAAGCCTCTGCTGTGTCAATTTTTTTTTTTTTTTGACAGGCAGAGTAGACAGAGAGAGAGAGAGAAAGGTCTTCCTTTTGCCGTTGGTTCACCCTCCAATGGCTGCCGCGGCCGGCGCACTGCGGCCGGCGCACCGCGCTGATCCGATGGCAGGAGCCAGGTGCTTTTCCTGGTCTCCCATGGGGTGCAGGGCCCAAGCACTTGGGCCATCCTCCACTGCACTCCCTGGCCACAGCAGAGAGCTGGCCTGGAAGAGGGGCAACCGGGACAGAATCTGGCACCCCGACCGGGACTAGAAGCCGGTGTGCCGGCGCCGCAAGGTGGAGGATTAGCCTACTGAGCCACGGCTCTGGCCTGCTGTGTCAAATTTACTACTGGACCTGAGGAAGGGGTCAGTCTCAACTGAATTTGCCAGTATAGGGAGGGAACAAGATATGTTTTGGGGAGATAACAACAGTGTCTACTAAATAACTGATGCCTTTTGGCTGTCTAACTTTCCTTCTCTCTCTCTTTTTTAAAAATTAATTTATTTGGAAGGCAGAGTTATAGAGAGAGGGAGAGATTTTCCATCTGCTGGTTCACTCCCCAAATGGTTGCAACAGTTAGAGCTGGGCAGATCTGAATCCAGGAGCTTCTTTCAGGTCTCCCATACGGGTTCAGGGGCCCAAGTACTTGGGCCATCCTCCGCTGCTTTCCCAGGTGCGTTAGCAGGGAGGTGGGTCAGAAGTAGTGCAGCCTGGACTTGAACTGGCACCATATAGGATGCTGGCGCTGCATGCTGTGGCTTTAACCCGCTATGCCACAGCCCTGGCTCCCCTTCTCTCTCATTTAGGTAACAGCTTACAGATTTTTTTCTTGGAACCTCTCCCCCAACCCCTGTTGATAACTGATGTTGCTTTAGGTAGAGTTGACCTAATCCATTGATTTAAGGGTAGGCACATGACCCAGGCCTGGCAGTGGGAGTACTTGGGTGGTCCCAGTGATTAGCCTAGGAGTGAATAGGTCAGTGATCTTTGTATTAGAGTCAGTGTATATTACTGTACATTATAATTTACTGTTCTAGCTGGTGATATGAAGGTGACATAATCCCTATCTTTAAAGAACTCAAACTATAATTAAAGAAGACCCACAAGTAAACAAAAACATGCAGTACTTCTCTTATAACTCCTTCCTGATTATCAGCTAATATAAGTGTACTACACAATGTTCTTGAAAAATGGAATTAAAAGATAATTTTATTTTGGCATAAAAAATTGAAACCTGTATATAGCTTTTTCATAATACAGTTTTCAAGAATATTTTATAGTACCCTTATATACATTTCCCCTTTTACTGTATTCTATATTACTGCCTTTATTATCTGTAACCACACTTATTATTAGTTGTTTAGTCTCTTTAGTCCTCATTAGATTATACATTCCATCAGAATAAGGACTGAGTCTGTAAGTTCTTTCTGAATTTCTAATATGTAGCCTTATTTCTGGGACATAGAAAGTTCTCAGTAAATATTTGTTGAATGAATGTTTGAAGAATGGTAATATTAAGAAGTACAAAAAACAAAAGATGGAATGATTGGTTTGCTGGTAGAATAGTGGAGATGCTCCACCCAGAAAGTGCGTAGTTACTAAATCACCTTAAGTTAAAGTACAGTGTGCAAGATGGGAGGCAGATTAAGTCCAGACCATGAAAAGTCCTGAAATGCTACATTTCAGGGTGGGATTTTGTCCTGCATGCAGTTATGGAGTCTCTGGTTGACTGGTTTCCAGTAGGGAAGAAAATACAAAGGTTGCAAGGTGAAAAACAGATTGGAGGAGAGTAAGATTAAAGAAGGGAAATTGGTTAGGAGGGTACCTTAGTATATACAGTGGACACTGTGAAAGCCTGAAGTAAATGGTAGCAGTGAGAATGAATAGGAGAGTTGTTAAAAAAAAATAGAATTGTGGCCTGGCATTGTGGCATAGTGGGTAAAAATACACCACCTGTGATGCCAGCATCCCATGTGGGTGCTGGTTGTGTCCCAGCTGCTACACTTCCAATCCAGCTCCCTGCTAATGGCCTGGGAAAAGCAGTAGAAGATGGCCCAAGTGTTTGGGACCCTGCCACCCATGTGGGAGACCCGGGTGAAGCTCCTGGCTTCAACCTGACCCAGCCCTGGCTGTTCTGGCCATCTGGAGAGTGAACTAGATTTCTCTGTCTCTCCCTCTCTTTTCTGTAACTTTCACTTTAAAATAAGTAAATCTTTTTAAAACAGTAGAATTGATGGGACTTAAAGATTTTTGAGAAAAATGAAGGAATCTAGAATCACTTTTAGTTTTCTTACTTGGAAGATGATTGTACTGCAAACCAAGAGAAGCAATTTAGGGATGAAGGATGGGTTTGGATCACATGACATCTTAAATAAAAATGAGGCAGAAATGAAATGGCCCAGGTTTTCTCCTTTTTGTGGGATTATTTTTCTCTTAGGTTTTCCCTAGGTAGTAGAGGAGAATAGATTCTACTGCTTCTAGGTTTCAGAGATGAAAGTAAATCAGATACTACTGAGTACCTGGGGGTACGGAATAGATTACATTGAGACCTGAACACTTCCAGAGTATTAGTTACTAGGGACATTTTAAATTTTTAGGTGTCTAAGTTGCCTCATTCTTTAAAATTTATTTATTTTCATTATCTTATTTATTTATTTTTTTGACAGGCAGAGTGGATAGTGAGAGAGAGAGAGACAGAGAGAAAGGTCTTCCTTCTGTTGGCTCACCCCCAAAATGGCCGCTACGCCCGGCGTACTGCGCCGATCCAAAGCCAGGAGCCAGGTGCTTCCTCCTGGTCTCCCATGTGGGTGCAGGGCCCAAGCACTTGGGCCATCCTCCACTGCACTCCCGGGCCACAGCAGAGAGCTGGACTGGAAGTGGAGCAACCGGGACAGAATCCTGTGCCCCGACCGGGACTAGAACCCAGGGTGCCTGCGCTGCAGGTGGAGGATTAGCCTA